TATGGTGCTAGTTCGATTCCGCTGCGGGCCAACCAAGCCTCTCATTCCTCCGGTGTCGGGAAATTGGTACCGGTCTTGTCTGGGAAAAACGATTCATTGCAATCCAATTGGGAACGCTCCAGCCCGGCTATCTCAGGACTCCAGGAGGGAATTGCTCGACCAGCACTTCACAACATTTAAGAGGAAATAGAAATCCTCAAACAGGAACAGAAGCCACGCGTGAAACAGTTGGAAAGTCATCGTGGACAGTGGATGCGAGGAAACGAATCGAATGTGAGAAGCGTAGGGATCCGCATAGTAGATGTGAAGACGGATCAAATAAAATAAAATTAAAAAAAAATTGTTCCCAGGATGGCTTTCTTTTAACCTCGGCATTGGAATATAAATGCGTCATTTTCTTGTTTAGCAATGTTTAGCAAGCTTGTTTTAGCGAGGTTGTTATGGAGCATACACTTACTTCTATAGAAAAACACAATACAATACAACAGTAGCTGACGTTTCGGCACCATCGCCTTCTTCAGAGCCGTGAAGTCACGAAAAAAGCGGCTCTGAGGAAGGCGATACTGCCGAAATGTCAGCTAGTGTTGTATTGTATTGTTTTTTCTATAGAAGTAAATGTATGCTGTATAACAACCTCGCCATTGCTAAACAAGAAAATGACGCATTCATAAAAAAATACTAACAAATCTAGAATCCTTTATAAACGTTACCGCGTACATGTCGCCGTTTGTTCCAATGAACGGCGAGCGACTCGAGTAGGTGTCAGCAAACCTTCCATTTCTCCCTGTCCCATCCAAGTACGTCCCAGTAGGTTCTGCTCTCACTAGCGACTTGTTGAGCACCACAGTTTTTTTTCAGGGTTTCCGTGCTCTAAACATCTGCTTGGTGGTTCTTCTGCCTTGTGTCTGACATTTTAAAGAATGGAGTCGCTCACGCCTCCTGCAATCCAGTTGTCCTTCGATTATTAAGCAAACACGAGGTTGACAAAAAAATTATTTAGTTATCGTTTCGACATCTTGGCCTACTTCAAAGCCGGATCGGTGCGATGATCCACAGGTCTTCGCGTTGTGGTCGTGTTCTCCGCTTCTACTCTTCATGAGCAGAAAAAAATGCTAGTTTCTCCATGTTAACTTTTTATTTATTGCCTATTACAATTTTTCACGGTAGGGTGTGAAATAAGTTTGATACAACCGCAATGGTGCTGAGATGTTTGCAAAACTCCGGAAGTTTCTCTTTTTAAGCTCTTTTATAGCTCGTTTACACTGTTTTTTTCGGACTTGAGTTGGCAGCTGCCTGTAGCCCGTGCGATTCTATGTTGGCATATCAGCTCCAGTGTTTCTCGAGACGTCTCTTGGTGACTTTCGAACCCTCAGCCTTCCTAGCGCTAGCGTGAAGATGTCGAATGAGGCGACCGGTACTCCTCGTCGATGTTACCGAGAACGACATCTTATCAACAGTCTACTAATGAATTGATTTGAATTTAGCTGCTTTTTCTCCTTTCCGCGAGAAATAGAATCTTGCACGAAGGAGGTTGTAGTCTGATCCTGTGTTGGATTTTGGGACAAGAGCGACATCTTTTAGACGAAACCTCTGATTTACTATTATATGGTATTTCGTTTACTATTATATTTCGTTATGTTACTCTCCACTATGAGACTCCCACGTCCAGCGTTGACGGCACTGCTTCTGTAATTGCGGTTACCACGAATGCTCCTGGTCGTCATGATAAACTCGAACAGCCGTTCACCTTGTTCGTTTTGTTCTAATCCATGGTTCTAAGATGGAGTCCTTCCGACATTCTTCTCGGTCCAACCTTAGCGTAAAATCTCTAATGGTGATCTTAAGGAATGTATGGCCTTCTCTGTAGAACTTTTCCAAGTCATCCCATATTAAATTCTTCGGTTTCGCCTTCGTCATAGCTTGATATCCGTGCGTGAACGACGAATATTGTTAAAGCCGGTATTGATCTACATCTTTTTAATCGTAAACGTCCGATTTGGGTTGCTAGTTGTTCGAATGAATCGACGTTCATTGACAAACTCGTGTTGACGAGAATCCTGTCGCATCTTTCGAGGAACAGTTCTTCTTTGGTGCCATAGACGGCGTTGAATGGGTGACGTTGTCTCGTCTTGGCCAGGCCAACGACGTCGTTCCTTATCCTTCTTGCTTTTATGAGCAAGTCTTCTATCGGGGACTCAGATGGAAGTGTACGTGCATTGTAAGTACAGATCATTACCTCAGTCCTTTGCGATTTAGGCACCCTAAAATGGCTCTGAGATCTTAGCAGCCTTTCCGTACACGTCCTAGCCCACGCTGCCGTGGCGGTGGTTCATTTGGGCTCAGGAGAGTGACGGCCACTTATTTACTGTGTCTAACGTTTGACATTTACTTGTAAATTGCTAAGCTCTGAACGTGGGGGCTGGGTATACCCTCGGGTGGCTTGCTACTCTCTCCCAAAGTAAATGAAGAGCTTATTTATTGGAGGCGGCTCCTAATCGGCTCTTCACCGAAACGACTCGTGGAATACAATTCGAATAAATGAGAACACACCCACTCATGCATGCATGAGTACATACTCGCAGACACAGAAGTTATGTACCAAATTAGTGCAGCAGAAGGAGGCAGCTGATCCAACTGGATCCACCTGTGTCTCAAAAAAGCGAAGGTCTTTCTTGTTCTCCGGCATGAGATCCTCCTACGAGAGATAAAAAACGTCTATCTATGGATATATCGATCTACATCTATATCTATCAGAGATAGAAAATCTCGTAAATTTTCACGCAACTTCATAATCTGTACCGTAAACACTACACAGCAAAGAAAAGAATAGCATAGCTAATGGCTAACTCGTTTTCAATTCTCTCGAACTGAACCTCGCCTTCTAAATCTCTGGGTCAATTTAATCAAAACTGAAATAGGTTTTCACTGTTCTCCTAGCTGAAATGTCACAAACATTTTGCTTAAGAAAAAACTTGTCGCAGCGAATTCTTCAGTTCGGTGAGTATGAATTTTTGATCTCGTGTGACCACAGAAACTATGCGAGGTTTGGTTTAGGTCAGCCAAGCTCTGTTCTTATCTATCTTCCTTGGTATAGTACTAATACCATGATAATTGGAAAGTTATACCATCGTATCCCACTACGCATCAGCTTCGATTTGACATCCAGCATGTTTGGAGAGAATGTGCAACGAAATCTTTACACCTGCTATAATATCCTTCAACCAGAAGTAAACTCTGGAAGTCTTCGCAATTCCTTCTACGGAAATAACTTTCAAGCTTTCACTGAGATCGAGGCTGAAGGATGCCATCTCTCGTATGGCGCTGATGTGTGTGAATAAGAATTCAGACGTACGATGATCTGAACGACAACTGACAAAGACTGGAATCGTTTGATATTCTATGCCCCATATCAAGAAGCCATAAACGTCCATGTGAGATAGTCGTTTGAAAAAAATGTTACACTGACATTGTTCGATGGATAAAACTTTAGGTAAAACGGGCAATGAATCCTTTATTAGGTAAATTCTACAAAAATCAAAATCGTATAAATTAATGCTCAGTAAGAACTGGATTACACAACCAGACCCGTCTCCAATGGGATCAAAACGCGTCGCGTAAACAAATGGCTAAAATCTTAACGGAATTCACGAGTCAATAGAAAAAAGACCATTATCAATCATCAGGATCAGCATCATCATCTACATCGTTATGGACGAATGAATATACAATGTAAGAACAAAGAAACACTCCTAGGATCATTCTACTTATCACAAGCAAATAACAGTTATTGATCGACGTTGCTATAGTAATAGCGTCGATCGGATCCATAATAAGTCACAAACGAGACAAAAAAACAACATTGAGATAGTTTAGACAAAGCCATTCCAAAGAACCAAGCCGACAAAGTGCCTACGTGAAATCTCACCGTCGGCAGGAGCGATCTCACCACCGGCGGAAGTGCTAGAGACACACACAAAAGAGCTTGCAGTCTCGACCAATGAAAACCAAACTGTCCGGAGCGGAACACACCTCTCTCCTCTTGAAGTATGTCCTTCTCACCAACGCGACGCGCACCACCCACCAAACACGGGCTGTCGAACAACAACACATACAGAGACAAGTACATTTTAAACAGAATGGGCAGAAGAAAAGTGAGCTAACTAATTTTAAGGTACGTACACTCAAATAAGTACACAAACACTTGACAAGAACGTTAGGATAGTATACGGTAGATAAAAATATTGCCTGTCGATCAGTTGCCAAACCAGTCCTCTTGTGGAGGAGCGCGGCTGTTTTGCCGTGGTGCTGAGCTGTTGAAACCACCTCCAGCACCTTGATAACCCCTTGATTGAAAGCCAGATCCTTGACCACTGTTGTACTGGATACGATGATCGCGCCCTATAATTATCTAATTATCTTAGAAGAATTTTACAAAATGCCTTCACCTCAAATTGTTTTCCGCTTCTTAAATTGAAGTGCGGGACAATTATTGCAGATAGATAAGTCCCTCTAAGCCGTATATTATAGAAAATGAAAATTACAATTGGTTTTTAATAATTGGTTATTTGACTTTCTATTTACTGCCTACTATTTTTAATGGCAGAGTATTATGTGAAGTGCAACTATAATAATGCCGAGATATTTGCAAAACTAGAAGCCCTAGACCAGCTTCGAAGCCATGATTGCAATTTCTGGGATCTCACGTGTAACCTACTGTACCATTAATTCCAAAAAAGGGCAGTTTAGAAGAAAACATGGTTCGTTTGGTTGACAGGGGACTAATCGTCATCGATTCGCTCACGATGGTACCAATTTGTGTTTCGTTGACACCTGATGGTACTTGGTTAAAAAACCAACTGTTAAGCCAGTCTGTATATGGCTACAGCATAAAAAAAATATATATATATGGACAACTACACTGATCAACTAAGTATGTGCAAATAGAAGTATAAAAACCTATACTGGTCCCCAAGAACCTGATTTACAAACTTGGAAGAAACTTAAAATGAACTTGGATGCAAAATCGTACCGCCAAATTTATTGCCTCCGCCACCACGACCTCCACGACCGCCACCACTTCGCGTGCCAAAACGAGCCACATCTCCGGCAACACGCTCTAGCCAATCGGGCAGCTCCTAAAAAATATGCATATCGTGTTTCATCATGAAGGGAATAACTAGAAACTGCTCACTTGATTTGCCTCAACAATCAAGTCCATCAGATCTCTTGCAATGTTACGATTCTTTTCGTTAAAAAACGACGTTGCAAGACCTTAATAACGCCACAGTCTCTCAATATACTATATGAAAGTAATAATGAATGGATACCAATATTTCCAACACGTCCAGTGCGACCGATGCGATGCACATACTCATCGACCTCCGCTGGAAGATCGTAATTTATAACATGTTTAACATTAGGAATATCGAGGCCTCTTGCTGCAACTGCCGTTGCCACCATTACTGGAGTAGCACCGGACCTGGAAACAACGCATATAAAATATGAATTGAGAGTAATGGCTAGTCTTTCCAATTATGCTTTAGCAAGTTCCGGTTATGCAAGATCTAAGGCGAAATTTGACAAGGGATGAAAGAATAGTTTTGAGTTAGTCATATAAGAAGGTACACTTAAATAAGTTTTAGATAGATAAGGGGATTATTTCCTGCAGGTTGAATCATAAAAACTCGCATATACATAAACGGTTTCCAAACCCCAACGTCTCAACTACCCGTAGCAATAACGTACCGAAATGAATCCAGATGTTTTTCCCTTTCGAACTGCTTTAGATCTCCGTGAATTGCAACAACCTCATAGCCAGCGCTTTGTAGATAATACGAAAGATCGGAAGCTCCTCTTTTTGTCTCGACAAACACCAATGTCAATGAATTCTGACCTCCTGCATCAAGCAAATCCATAAGATAGGAACGCTTCTCGTGATCCTCCACCCACACCACCTAAATATTGCATTGAGTAAGATAATTAGAAAAATGATGCAAAAATGCGTTACAAGGAATATTTTACTGGAACTAGCAAATATCACCTTTTGCATAATGTTCTCCGACGTCGATCCAACTCTTCCAACAGCCAGGAAAACATAATTCGGCATTAGAAAGTCTTGTGCGAGCACCTACGTGTAAACAGTTGAACCATGAATCTGAAACAGTTTGACGGAACTCAACTGTACCTGAATATCTTTGGGGAATGTCGCCGAAAACATGGCTGTAACTCGCTCTCCCTTGCGCGGCATTGTAGAAAGGTCCACAATCTGAAAGAATCTAATGTGAAAATCTTGTATAACTAACTCATAGTGACATCCACAGAATTCCTGGAAAATAAGTATTTCGTACATTACATAGCAGCTCAACGCTGCCGCTTCATTTAAAGCCCAAGAAACTCAATTAAACAATGTGAGACAAAAAACTGCAGACTTGACGAATTTGAGGTTCGAAGCCCATGTCAAGCATCCGATCAGCTTCATCGAGCACAAGATAGCGACAACCTTTAAGCCCGATATATTCTTGCTCCATAACATCGATCAATCTACCAGGCGTTGCAATTAGGATATGACAGCCAAGCTGAAAACTCTCATAAGTAAATGAGTCACCGTACCAATATCTCTTATCACAAGTATTGTTCTTTCAACATAATTTGCTATTTCTCTCGTCATTGTTCCCTCTTACCTCACCTCTACGTGTTCTATATGAATAAGCTTTTTTAGAACAACACTGGAATGTTGTCAACATTTGAGCAACCCTAGGTGAAAAACATGTCCAAGTATAAAAAGGATAAAGCTCTCAGCGTTAATTAATCCCTGAGGGATGCACCATGCATTCTACACCATCAAACGTCGTTAGAGGTGAATGAATGCATATCTGGCCTATATGCTATCCTCCCAGACAAGTCTGGTACCAATTTGCTGACCCCGTAGTGATGGAAGGCTCGATCCCATGGGTGTATCACAGGGCACCTCCAACCACTGGGCCACACGCGTCCCATATGTCCAAACTTTAGTACAACTGTATCAGACCTAACAGTAGCAAAACAAAACTGTCAAGAAAATAATATGGCAGGAAGAATGACGGAGTGGAATTGAATCATGAATACTTACGCGTAGTTTGTTTATTTGTTCTTTATAGTTTTCTCTTCCGCCATATAGCAATGCCGACTTGATCGGCGTACGATAGCTAAACTTACGTGATTCGTTGTAGATCTGAAACCACTTTTTAAGAAAGTTTAAAAATAAATAACGAAAACAGAACCATCATTATAACATGCAATGCTCGTCTACGGCAAATATTTTTCAAACATTCAATGCTTCAAAAGTACCACCACAATTTCCAGAACTTAATTAATCCAGCAAATATACATCTACCTGAAGTGACAGCTCTCTTGTTGGAGAAAGAACAAGTGCAGACGGGTACTGTTTTTTACGACCACCATGAGACATAGTCGGAGGGTGCTGTGCATCAGGACCATCCTGGAAATGATAAATAACACAGTACCATAAGTTCTTAAAGCTGCGAATCCACATGAGCACGCTACAATCATTACTGATTTATATTCCAAAAATAAACGTAATTTTTCACCTATTCATATTTCTGTACCAAGGGTGTTTTTACCTGAAGGATCGCATTAATCAAAGGAACGAGGAATGCAGCCGTTTTTCCTGAACCAGTCTGAGCACATGACATAAGGTCTCGGCCAGCATTTAGCGCTGGAATGGAATATTTCTGCACAGGAGTGGGACGATTATAGCCAGACTTCTGTATGTTCTCTTCAATCCATGGATGTAGTTTAAGCTCCGAAAACTGAAACAGAGTACATTCAATTAGCGTAACACGATTACTTTAGACAAAACTATAAACAAACCAGCGAAATTGGAGCTGGAACATCCTCCCCAGTGGCTTCAACTGGAATTTCTTCATATTTGTCGAAATTTATTCCAGAAAGTTGACCAGCAAACAGCTCTGCTTCAAGGCGCTCATCACGTGGTTGCTGATGCTCCCATCGGCACGGCGGCTGCCCTTCGTCTCGTAGAGCAGCCCAGCGACCTCTATACCAAATTTCTGACTCAACAAAAGTAAGCTATTTCCGAGAAGTCAAAACATTATAAGGACTGAACGAAAATACGTACTTTACTTCCTCACGGTCGCTATTATCTCTACGAATCGGGTGCGAATCGTAACCCCTGTGAAAGTCAATTTTAGAAACCTAACGAACACAAAATGCATAAAGAAAACCGCCGGAAAAGATATAAAGAAGGCTTCTTTACCTCTGGTTGAAGCACCCACGCCCGCCAGAATTTGGATAGTCCTCGCGACAACCCACTCCATAACCTCCATTGCGCTGACCTCCTCTATAACTACGTTCCGAAAAGCGCCCACTATTACGAACACCATAACCACGATCCTGACCAAAGCCACCGCGACCTGAACGTTTTCAGTCTTGACCACTAACTAGTGTCCATCAATAACGTGAGTACTGCCTCATGATTGTTTCGCTAAATATCTTTGAAGCAGCAGAGTTCGAAATAAAAAAAATGTACAATACTTGCGACATGGAAAACTACCATAAAACATAACTTTAATGGTGCTGAGATATTTTCAAAACACCGGACCGCAAGTGTCTGCAGTGGGGAATGAAAGCGCTAATGTCCTTTCCGGGGAGTAACGCGTTCACCACCACACCATGCGGGTCCTTCGTTTCACCTGTCTCTCAGCTAGTTCCATCGATCTTTCGCCATCAGCAATCACCCGTCAGCGGGATTGGTCCGGGAAGCCCAAATCGGCAACGAATCCGGAGTTTTGCAAATATTTCAGCATCATTAAAGTTATATTTCGCAATATATACCATGCCGTTAAAAAGAGTAGGCAGTAAATAATAAGTTAAGATTATCAAAAAACAGACTACCTTCTCCACCTCGATCACTTCTTTCGTAAAAATCTCTTCCACCATAGTTACCACGACGGTTTCCTCCATCTCGGAAACTAAACAAATCCATTTTCAATGGGATACGGCACAGCTATAACATCTACTTGAACCACTTGACTCTTAAAATTTAAGACGCAAAATGGCACCAACAGATAAATCTTTTTTTGTCAACCTCACAGCTTAATGAATTTTCCCACAACTGTTTGCCGCATGTTTATTGCAGGCTGGGTGAGGGATTCTCAGTTAAGTTCACAAGTTAAGTTAATCCACATTTCACCTTTTGTTTCCTCTGTCTTTTCTCTTGGGCTAAAATATCAAAGCAGCTCTGGTAGGCGAAACGGACGAATGAACAATTCGTTGGTACCCAGTCGAAGAGTCCAGTTATTCGATGATAAACGTGATCAATCAGATTGACTGCGACAGATAAATGAATCACAGAAACAACGGACCAGTTGTCACAATAAACTATGTCCGAGGATCGAAATATCATTGGAAAAAAGCGCTGATTTATTGCTATTTATCGACAACAGTTCAACATTAAATGATCGCCCAGTTCCAACTAACTGACATGTCTTTGTAAGTCTTTCATTCTTGGTTATTCGGCCCACAACAAGTCCTTCCTATAAATGAGGAATACCGAAGCCAACACCAAATACTATTCTCCATAACCGATTTTTAGATAGTTAAACTATTAAACAACACCAGACATGTCAATTCAAATACATAGTTGTCACTGGAAACTCAGAGTAATCCGCATAATTCTGCAATTCAGCTCAATAAAAGGAAGAAACGGTTTACTGCCTCATAGTGGCTGTGAGGTGGTCCTGGGTGTCAGGTTGCGATATACAGAGAGGAGTTCTTCCCTCCAGAAGCGCCTCCCAAGCTGAGAAGGAGCCCGATGTTTCCATCTGGTAGCCCAGCGAAGAGTAAATCAATACCAGGATCCACCATTGTCCTGGTATCAAACTAGTCTCATGGTGGTAAATGTCTCTCTGGTCCACAAGGGCAGCAACTGCCTATGGTGGTGACGACCTGGACCAGACATTGGTCAGGTTGACCTCGGGACTCCAAGGAAACATAATGCAAAGCTAATGAAACTCCGAAAAATGGAGAATATGTTGGAGGCCGCACAACTAGCAACGACGGGCCATCCAAGTATCAAATTATCCAGGTAAAGGCAAAAAAATGTTCACGCATATACATATGTGATTTATTTACATATATGTATACATAGAAAAAAAAGTTGAGACTGTCACAACTTCGAATTTTGCGGTTGCGTTTCACATAATACCTTACCATGACGGTGGGTTTAGCTCAGTGGTTAGGGGTGGCTTGTCATATATATGGCTGCGAATCCACGTCCAATGCTCACCAAGCCTTCCATCCCTCCGGGGTCGGCAAATTGGTATCGTATCTGTCTGGGATGATAGCAGCCCTGACTTAATACATGGTTAGGTCACCTCGAGTCATTTCATAGTCCAGATTCAGTCACCTCTAACAATGCTTGGCGAAGTCAATGGGATCTCCTATGTCAACGCCAAGAGCTTCATCCATTTTCTTTTCACCCTGCCATGAAAAAAGAATAGGTAGTAAATAAAAGCCAATCCTTCAAATCTCTTAAAAATCGAGAGCTTGTAACAATTTTCGTAACCCAAAGGCCCTCAACATTTGTTTGCAGCAGCTCTATTTCAATGCACTCACCCGGCTCGACCGCCGCCGCAGAAACGGTCGCTATCGTCGCAGCGCGGCATCCCACGCAGCGCCTCGCCGGTGCCTCCGCCGCCGCGGTTCCGCTGGTGCGGAGGCACGTAGCGATCAACAACGGATGTGTTCACAGCAGCATTTCTACCGCTGTCATTACCACAATATCCTCTTTCCATCAAAGAAACAAGTCGCAAATGCGAGCCGAAGTTTGGGACTTCTCCTGAAATGCTGATGTGTGGGGTAGCGAGCCTTTATGAGACATCACAAGCGAAATCAATTGTCATTCTTAGAAGAAAATGAGAGAAAATGATAGAAAAACGCACGAGAATGGGGTGTAGATCTCAGACATAGGTAAAAATTCCCGTAATGTCAAGCTCCGGAGATGATGACAGGAGTTCTTGCCCGTAGAATAGCAAGAAGCTTTAAGAGAAATCCAAAAATATTGCCCAAAAACAGCCACCATTTTCCAGAAAGCGAACAATTACAGTATGTTTTGTCAAATACGACAATAAAAACAAAGATCTGTGAAGAGATTACGTTAAAGGAAAGCTCTTAAATCCACTTTAAAATATAAAGTGACCAGAGCATGGTGAAGCTAAGGTAAAACACAGAGTTACTTAAGACAGACAAGCTCATTAGCAAAGATACTGCTAAGTCCTAACTCTAGTATTAGTCCTTCTAGCCCTCTACCGCCAACTTAGTTCCCTACGTTTTAACCTAACAATGCAAGAAATCTTAGGAATCCAACAGAAATTTGGTTTACAAAGCATTCAGTCCATAACCGATTACGATCCAATCGAATGTTCCCAGAAATCAGTTGAAACCTAGTTCCAGAAAAATGACTTTAGAACGTTTCGGAACCATGTATGAAAATACTGATATTGCACTGAAAGCACTGAAAAGCGGACGACGCGAAAACACTGATTTCATGCGACGACACGCCAGTGACAGAACTATGAGGAACAGTCGTGCGCATTGGCTAAACGGAAGGCCATTCTGCGTGAAACAAGTACTGAAAAAAATCTTATGCAGCATTAAGGGAAACGGAAGGTATAACAGAACTCATCAACCTACAGATATTTCTCGGATTCTTGGTTCTTTACCTGTTATTCGTGTGTTCGCCTCTGAAGCCTTGTAGTTTCATTCATAAGCCGACATATGGATGGAGAAGGAGTCTATTTTCCGATCATTCCATAAGATGTTATTGGAATGTATGGGATTCTTTGGAATGTATTCTATGGGATTAAGTTAAAGATTCTACCCACCAATACTTCCTCTGCACGATATGTCCTATCGGGATCGAAGAGGTACTGTACAGCAACCGTCAGCGATATTGTTAAGGGAAATATGGGTGTACCCTCCCAAAGTTTATTCTGTAGGGAATAATACCGTATAGTTACTCAAAATATATCTTCTTACTACTTTATATGATCAGCCAGCACAACGCTATGCTACTCACATCCCCAGGGCTGTACATCAGCACCTTTAAATGGACACAGACGGTCTTTAACGGACGGTTTGGACCCATCATTTCAATGTGCTAGACAGCCTGTTCACAATACGGTTTCCCTTACAATGTTTTTGACCTCGAAAAATGCGAAGACCACTAACAGACATTTTCCCACTTGTAAAAGAAAACCTCCTGTGCTACCGTAGGACCTTCCCTTTCACAGAGCTTCGATTACAGTTAAAGTAATACGACAGACACAATATCCACAAGGGCGGCTCCTGTCGTGGTAGTGACGACCTGAGGTAGACTTTGCCCGGGCTGACCTCAGGATTCCAGGGAACCACAATAGCTAAGCCACCAAAACTCTGAAAAAATGGAGATTACGCTGGGATCCGTATAACCATGGAAGGTGAGCTGTCCAAGTCTCCAAGTAAATAGTAACATGGCACATGATTACTCTTCAAGAAGCAATCTAACTGCAATTTTAAATGCTAAAATAAAAACATGGAGGGCTATGGGCAAATCTCTTTACATTTCATAGAATGTTGTAGTGGACTACAGTACGACAAACAGTCCCAGAAACCAAGGAAATCACAACAAAACAATGGAAGACTTTTATTACAAAAACACGAACGCCTTAGTCGCAAAAGATGAGGACATTGAGTTTTAGTCCTCACGAAGAGGAATGTAGGTCTGCTGGATAGGCTTTCCGCTCTCTGCGATAACCAGATGAATTTTATCACCTGTGGAGATTTCACGCTCAGCTGCTGTACGAAAGGCATCCTAAAATGCTTAGTTTCGGCAAAAATATACTTTAGGCCACTTTTTTTTTCATAGACTACAATAGAAATCATACTAAGTGCAGAGATATTTGCAGCCGCTCATATCAATGAGAAGTCTGTCGAAGGCTACCAGTCAAAAAATTAGAAACTAAATTCTAAAAGGTAACCTTTATCAGTGAAGTAGCTCTTTGAAGTGTTAGTGGCAACTTTTCGGCTTCTTCAGACAATGTTACATGACCGATCTAAACAAAAAGCTCTTTCCGGACGAAATTTGGAAAATCGTATACGAACAACGAAATGTAAAACAAAACAAGAGGTGGGATAAACAATACTACCACTCGTTTGCAGGATCCGACGCTAAAAACCTATTGCTTTTCCTCTTTTCCTAACTTTCGCCCCAAACAACACTCGTATATGCATATTATTTACGTATGTTTATATACCACGGTTCCCGCTCATATGAGGGATCAAGAGCCGGTCGCTCGTGAGGCTACGTGGCGCACTTTCAGATGGCGGCTAGGGAGTTAATCACGAATCAAAAGCGACCTTTGCTTCGCTGAGACGCAGGTGTATCCAGGAGATGGACTCCCTGTTTCTGCTGCGCTTATTTGGCACATTCTGTATTTACGAGGCGTATTCATGCAGGCGTGTGTGGGTGTTATGCTATTCTATTATAACTTTCATAACGCTGAGATATTTGCAAAACCCCGGACCGCAGGTATCTGCGGTGGGGAACGAACACGCTCTTGTCCTTTTCGGGGAGTAACGCGTTCACCACCACACCATGCGGGTCCTTCGTCTCGCCCGTCTCTCAGCTAGTTCTATCGATCACAGCCATCAGCAATCACGCGTCAACAAGACTGATCTGAGGAGCCCAAGTCGGCATTGAACCCAGTTAAGCTGAGGCTATAGAAAAGATTGTCATTAAAACTATAGCCTCAGCTTAACTGTGTTCAATGCCGACTTGAGCTCCTCAGATCAGTCTCGTTGAGTTATATTTCGCAACCTATCCTGCCATTAAAAAGAAAAAGCAGTAAATTAAAAGGTTAAGATTATTCTATTATAGTTTATTCTACGGGTCAATTCGGCAAGAGACTGCAACCAAGTGACAAGTAAGTACATGGGAGACGATTAGGAGTCGCCTCCAACAAATACCCGTGGATATACCCAGCTCCCAAGTTCAGAGCTTAGCAAGCTATACGTGAGTAGCAAAAAGCTAAACACAGTAAAAGAAACGGGTCTCATTCCTATGACTCCGAAAGAGCCCCAATTCGGCAGCGTCGGGTAGGACGAGTACATAGAGGCTGGTAAAATCTCAGGGCCATTCTAAGTTGCCTAAATCGCAAAGGACTAAGATGACGATCTGTACCTATGAAGCATGTACACTTGCTTCTGCGTCCTCGATAGAAGACTTGATCATTGAAGCAAGAAGGACAAGGTACAACGACATCGGAGTGGCTGAGACGACACGACACCTATTTAACGCCGTCTATGACACCGGAGAACATTTCCTCAGAATATGCGATAGTATAGAAGTCGGCGGCGTCTACGTTCTCGTCAACAAGAGTTTGTCCATAGATAGCGATTCATTAAAACAACTAACAACCCGAATCGGACGTTTACGATTAAAGACATATGGATGAATACCGGTTTTAACAGTTTTCGTCGTTTACGTGCCGGCATCAAACTATGAGAAGAAAGAAGCCCAAGCGTTCCATATGGACTTGGAGAAGCTCTACAAAGAAGACCATGTATTCTTCTAGGTGGTCATTGGAGATTTTAACACCAAGATTGGACCACGAAGAACATCTGAAGAACGTCACATTAGGACTGACAGATAGGAATCGAACGAACAGTATGCCCGACGTTATCATGACGACCAAGGCCATCCATGGTAACTCGCAATTCCAGAAGCGCCATCCTCATCGCTGGACGTGGGAGTTTTCCAATGGAGAGTACCATAACGAAATAGAGCACATCATAGTAAATCGAAGGTTTTGCCTTACCGATGTCGCTGCTGTCCTAACATTCTACACGAGACCAGACTATCGCCTCTTTCGTGCAAGATTTGATTTCTCGCGGAAAGGAGAAAAAGCTACTAGATTCAAAAAAACGAACTCCCAAAGCCAACATAAACTGGGATTTATTCAATTTACTAGTCGTTCGTTGGAAAGATGCCGTTCATGATAACATTCGCGAGGAACACGATCCGCTCATTCAACATCCTCACGTTAGCGCCATGAAAGCTGAGAGTTCGAAAGCTACCAAGAGACGTCTGTCTACAGAAACAGTTGTAGGCAACCACCAACTCACGTCAAAAGTTGCAAAACAATGCACACAGGCGATAGAAGATTTTAGAGAAAGAAACCAGTATTTCTTGTCGAAGCTGCAGATGCTGAGAAAAGTATTTACAAAGTCCACCGACGTTTCGTAAAATATAAAACCAAGATGACTGCACTCCGACGCCCGAACGGGACAGTTACACCGTCCGGAAAGGCAATGAAGAAAAGTATTCACGACTGCTACTCGGAACCCTTCAATACACACTTCATCCTGCCCTCATAAAAAATAAAGCAGAAAAGATAGATCGTTCCACGGGTTTACCCTTCTGAAATCCGACATGCTATATCATCAGTGAAGAGTCGAGCAGCACCAGGTCCAGACAGGATAAAATCTGAACACCTGAAGCTAAAGGCCAACAAGACCGTGCTATTGTTCAAGAAGGGTAACCTTCACGATATTGGCAACTATCGCCCAATCTGTTCTGTCGTCTACAAACTTTTCACTCGATTCATCCCAAACAGCCTTGACAGAACACTGGACGAAAGGCAGCCATGTTAGCAAGCAGGGTTTCGACGAGGATTTAATACAATGGACAACATCGACACGATAATAAGACTCACTGAATTATCGCGAGAGTACAAAACACCACTCTGTCTCACTTTCATCGATTTAAAGGCCTTTGACGCAATTGAAGCAGAAGCAGTAATAGAAGCCACTGATAGTCAGGGAGTCCCTACTCAGGACATAAAATTCTTCGTGAGCTGTATACAAATTTCAAAACCAAGATATCACCATTCTACAACGATATTAACATTGACGTGAAAAGAGGGTTAGGCAAGGCGATACCATCTCGCCAAAATTATTTGCCGCCACCCTCGAGAAAGTCATGCGAACATTGCAATAATACAACATTGGAGAAAAAGTTAATCGTCGGCAATTACACCATCTTCGCTTTGCTGATGACATCGTCTTTATATCAGCAAACATTAGCCAAGAGAAACGAATGCTTGCCTACTTTGATAAACCCAATGGAACGATTGGTTTACGACTAAATCTCACAAACACGATGTTCATGAAGATCGGTTTGGTTTCACATGCCACATTCACGCTCGACGGAACGAATATCTCTGAATGCTCCAGTCACGTCTATATAGGTCGGGAAATCAATATGACGAACGATTTAGCTCCAGACTTGGGCAGAAGAAAACAACCTGCTCCGGGAGCTTTCAAGAGCATCGGGGATGTAGTGAAGAGAACAAAGAACACCCGACTCTGTGCCGACCTTTTCGGATCAACTGTACTTCCTGGTTTAACGTATGCGTCAGAATCCTGGTCTCTCCGTAAAACGGATGAAAGATAACTCAGCGTTATTGAACACACAGTTGAAAGGACGATGCTAGGAGTATCATGTATCACACAAATACAAGTAAGGGAAGAGATCAGAAGCTCCGACCTCCGAAGACGATCAAAGATGAAAGATGCTGTTCTGTACGCCAAACAGTCGAAGAAAGGTGGGCCGCTCAAGTAATGCGTATGAACGACAACCGATGGACAAGAGCCGTTAGTGACTGGATTCCTCGGGATGTCAAACTCATTGCAGGAAGACCACCAACCCGATGGTCAGAGTTCTTCACGAAAAGCCTAGAAGAAAGATATGATGATCAACGAGTCCCTAGAGCGAACAGAATGCACTAGGCTACTCTTACACGCGACAGGGAAAGGTGGAAGATTTACTGGAGCCCGCTCGAGTTACTCGACGACCAACGAGACAACAAGTAATGCAGGTTATGTACATATACATTCTATATATGTATATATATATATATATATATATATATATATATATATATATAGGTACATGATATTTGTGCATACCTATGCATACGTATATGTACACGTATATATGTATATATACATATATAGATATATATGATATGGATCAACGACTTTGACGCTACAGTGAAGAAGTCAACGAGGCTCAAAACTGAAGAACTTTGTCATCCTTAGGAAATGTAGCATAACTTCAAAAAATTCAAGACGTGGGAGGATCCTAAATTTTGCAGCAATACATGAAGTGCACTAAAAGATAGATAAAAAATAAAGCTCTCGGCGTTGATCAATCCCTAAGAGATGTGCTATGCATCCGACTTTGTCAAGCATCGCTGGAGGTGATTGGATGCATATCCTGCTTTTACAATGACTCGTGATGGCCTGCCAATGTATCGGGCCAGTGTTGCTATCTTCCTAGACAAGTCTGGTACCAATTTGCTTACGGCGGCGTTATGGACGGCTTGGTGGACCTGGGCGCGTGGATCGACCCCGTGTGTATTGCAGAGCGCCTCCGACCACTTTGCTACACGCGCTGCTTACTAAAAGACATAGGTAGGAATATGGAAAATAATAATGTGATCTCTAACTATTACGAAACCCTTCAAAGCTTAAGTGGATACGAAGCCTAGAGAGTTGCATCCGTTTCATTCACTACGTTTAAATCAATCAATCGTTATCGAGCGTACTCCTTTGTCAGTATAAAGGTGTCGAAGTAAATGTTGTTCAGTGGTTTCGGCCACTATGCATCTCTAGACAGAATATTGAAATATGATCATAATCTCATCTACCTTCAGCTAGTCTACGGACAATTTTTATTCGGCAGTCAATGAAACTACTGTGGCATCATTGCCATAGTTATGATGCGAATATTTTTACGGTCGTTTTCTTTCTCTCAGTTTAAACCACTCTAGCAGTCGACAGAATTGCTGTGTCGGTCATTTTCAAACACAACTATGTGGGACGGGGGAAAATTAAACTGGAAGAAATTGGTTTTTGCATTATTATGTCAGTTCCAAAGAAAAGACCCGTATTCAAATTTTAAACTCCTTTGATAACAATAATAGTTCTTGAGCCATGACATTTAAAGAAATACTTGCCTAAATTATTTTGTTGGGGTATACACAGTGCTACATAACACCCTTATGTTTAACTCATAGAGCTCATATGGCACAGTGGCTAAAAATGCGTCGCGAATGCACGTGTGAGTCCTATTCTACACCCCGGACTAAGTAAACCCCATGTATCCGAGGCCCTTAAACTAAATCCCATATCTTCGAGGTCATTAAATTAGTACCATACGTGTCTAGTAGGACGGAAACACTGACCTAATACATCAAAACGCGATGTAAACCAATTTTCTAGTCCAAATATGCGCTAAACTATCTCAACCTTTTCATGAATTCAGTCGAATGCAGAACTCATACCTAAAGGACGGATCAACGCAGCGCTCTATTATCCTTAATCTTTACCTAACTACTGATCTTACGTGAATTATAAAAATGAAAATGAGAAGATACTTGGCAGTCTAGGAAAGGAATAATCATCGATTCGGCAGCTCCTGTAGCTGCGTATGCAATCCTTTCAATGCATCCAATTGGGTCATAACTAAACACAGCGCCTTTACCTAGAAAAGAAAGCACTTGAAAAATAAAAATACCCTCATTAAAGGTACATGAAAACTAGCAATTTGAAATTGAATGCGTACCGTTCTCATCGATTCCAGCCAAAATGGAACCCGTATAATAGGGGAAGAAACGTCTGTAGTACAGATTCCTTGAAAGAAGTTCTGCCATTAGGTCAACACTCATGTCTGTACGATAATCGAAACGGTACTTGTGAAGACGAGCCTAAAAATTGAAGCAAAAGATCTTCGTCGCGTAGATGGAAATCAGTGTCATACACCTATTGCTCTATTATATCACTAAAATGAAGCATCCTATAAACAAACACCACATGACCTTTACTGCCAGCAATGCATTTGATAAGGAAAGAAGAAAGAGAGACCAAAAAAGTCCTTGCTTTTGTCTCCAGCTCCATAACAACTCCAAATTTTAGCAAATAACTAGAATACTCTATAGTACATGATCATCCTAGTACCTGTAGCACACGCTTAAGCTGAAGAACATCGCCGTAGAAACCCGACGTTGCCAATATCACAGAGTCATTCCTGCAATGTAGAGCGGATCAAACAAGTAACACAGATCAATCATGACCATCTAAATCCCTCCCCATCCCAACGGTTTACCGTGGTTGGGAGGTGTTACTGGGTGTCCGGCTGCAATATGCAGTAAGAGAATTCATCTCCCAGCAGGGTCTCCCAAGCTTAGGAGTTCGACGTTTCCATCCGGAAGCCCAGCTGAGAATAAACCAATACCAGGATCCACCACCGCCCTGGTTCAACGTAGCGTTGTGGCGAATCTCCCTCTGATCCACAAGGGCGGGGACTACCTGTGGTGGTGACAACCTAGGGCACATTTTGACCAGGATGACCTCCAGACTCCAGAGAAACAATGGCTAAACCAGCAGAAATGCGAAAAATAGAGAATATGCTGACAATCAGTGAAGATGGGCCATCCAAGTATCCAAGTAAGTAAGAATTAGTCCTCTATCAAGGTTAGAAACTCACAAAACATGCACTTTCTCTGCGTCTCTTGTGATGACGTTGATTTCCATCTGTGACATACGGGTATCACTGGCCACAATCGCAAAATTCTCACCAGACAGAGCACATGTAGACCTATATTGAGCTAGAGCTTTGTTTACAAATATTGAGTAGATAACCGCATCGGAAATTCCTGGAGAATGATTGCCTACAGGGAGTTCGTAAGAGTTCATGAAACCCAAAAACTTCAATGCAAGCGTGAATTCCTCACCCTCCCTCGAACGAGTACGGATTCCAACGCTGGCGTTCAATATGGCGACCAGTACGCCAATCCGGATTCGTCTTAGCGTCGACCATCGCAGCTTTGAAAGCCCGTAGTTCTTGAAGAGGATCAGTTTTCACGTCATACGGAATACCGAACGAAGTGGCCATTCCTAAACGAAAACTCACACCAACGGACAACGAATTTTGTTAAAAATCTACAAAAAAAAAAAAGAAAGGAAGCCGATTGGAAGCGTACAGTTGAACCACTTATAAGTTTATCTCGAACAAACAAATAAACAGCAGCAAGGACGGCCAAATTCATAAACATTCCGTAAATTTTATTTATTCGTTTTGTTTCACAACTCATAAATATTCATCAGCAAAAGTTCTTACTATTCTAACCAAATTCCACCACTGAGCGCCTAAACACTAAGTTCACTAATCGTTACTGAACGCATAAGGATGATTGGTGCAATATTGCGTGTATCAAGGTGTATTGCGGTGATTGCACTAGAATTTACGACAAAAATCTGTGCTATGGAATTTGTAACATTTTGGTTAATGGTTGTATTTCCTTTACCATAAATGGCATTAAATTCTGCTGTAGTCTTTAGGTGTTCAAACATTGGTTAGTACGAGTTTTGAAACCCATTGGTAGACCTGTTCTTGCTTTTTCGTAGTCTTTTATGAGCTTTCAAAATCAGTATTAAAACGTCGTTCATAAGCTACCGTTTCTGGATTAGTTTCTTAATAATTTAGGTATTCCTGTCTACAGAAGTGCGACTGAAATGACGGATGACGGACCACCGAAGCTCAGTTCGAATGTGACGACATCCGCACAGGAAACCCGACCTGTACGTTGAACTAAGACTGAAATTCCTTGCAAAGTGTAGCGTAGTCATATTGAGCTCATTCCAAGCGTTTTCATGCGAATTTAGCTCCGAATACTTCAGTCCTGAATCTGGGAGGTCTCCATTGTTCGTTGGTTTTACTTAGCCTTTTTTTCATGGAATGCTTCTACAATGTAACGGGACGATTTCGTTGCAACGAAGAGAGGGTGCTTGATGTGAAGGATGATAAGAGTGGTTTCGAAATGGTAGATAGTAGATGTGAGAAGGATCTGCGCTTAATGAATACTTCAGTACTGTTGCAACTGCTAACCGACTTGTGTTCTGAACGTGGTTGATCTGCCTATATCAGCGAAGGGAAATAGCGGGGTCGATCCCCACCGCAGATACAAGAGATCGAGTTTTGCAAATTTCTCAGTAACATTGCGCTTATATCAACACTTTTTAGGTTGCGTTATGCGATCGCTTGGAATATGACGGGTTAAAGCTCATAGTTCAGCATTGTTATCTCTACTGTTAACAAACTAGGATCGAGTAAAAACGGGCTCTGTATCTTCGGCGGCAGCTTGTGCATCATACGGTTCATTCGCTGTTGGTGTGGTCCAAATGTTTACAGATCGTCACCATACAACACCTTTTTCAAGGTGTTATGTTACAGTATTTTTGTAAAGTGTGTTGGAAATCGTCACCTTGTGTCTCATGTGATACTTTTCAGTTATTTTACTTCGTCTCCGTAACTGTTAAGTTTCATGTTATCTTTTCGTGCCGATGAAGTCTTCCTATTCCAGAAAGTTTTGGCTAACAAAGAATTTTTAATGGGGCGCGTGTAGCGCGGTGGTCGGAGGCACTCTACAGTACGCATGGGATCGATGCCGCGCCACGTGCCCACCAAGTCTTCCAACCCTCCGATGTCGGCAAATTGATAACAGACTTGTCTGGTAGGATAGTAGCACTGGCTTGGTGCATCGGTAGGTCACCGCGAGTCACTGTAAAGGCCAGATATGCATTCATTCACCTCCAAATGATGCTTGATGAAGTCGAGTGCATGGCGCATGCCTCACGGATTGATCGACACCGAAAGCTCCGGTTTTTATTTCATAAAAGGAAACCCATTTTTGGAATCGAATATGTATGGCACTTGTTGTTTCGCGCAATTTTTTCCCAATAGCAAGCGACTTGGGAGAAGCGTTGATTTTCGGAAGTTGAAATTTTTGTATCATCTAATCTACGAGATTTAACATGGTTTTAAATGTTTGCTTCTCCACAGGGGCGAGATCTAAGATTTATTCCCACATATTGTTGGGCAATTAAAACACTACAAATCGTTCATATTCATGGTTCTATGGCACAGCTGATCTTGAGGAATTCTTCGAACTTTAATTCAACCGGAGACGGACCCTATTTCACTAGTTAAGGAGGATTTTTTTGAGATTGTCTTACAGCGGCCTCCTCTAGTCGGAAGGTGCTTTCCCACCTGCGGTCGTATTTCTCTCAGGCCGAAAATCATTGCTAGCATTAGTTGCGCTTTCTTATGGAAATATCGAAACCTTTCTCGATTTTTATGACCATATCGCTCAACCTCTCCCAACAGTTTACCGCCTCATCGTAGCTGGGTGTTCCTCGGTGTCGGGCTGCGATGTACACCAGTGGGGTTCGTCCGCCCGATAGGTTCTCCCAAGCTGAGTAGGAATCCGGCGTTTACATCAGGAAACCTAGCTATGAGTAAACCAGTACCAGAATCCACCACCGTCCTGGTATCAAAGTCGCGTGGTGGCAAATCTCCCTCTGATCCACAAGGACTATGACTGTCTGTGGTGGTGAGGACCTGGAGCAGACTTTGGCCAGGCTGTCCTTGGGATTCTAGGGAACCACATTGGCTTAACCAGCAAATCTCCGAAAAATGGTGATTATGCTGGAGTCTGCACAACTAGTGAGACAGACCGTTCAAGTATCAAATAAGCATCGCTCAACCATCTTCTGACTGTGCAAAACAATTCGTCTTCGAAGAACATCCCTGTGATTCGACTTTTCGTTGCTCCATGTTTCGCATTTTGCAGTCCGATTTGTACACCATTCTGTACTTTGCAGCAGCAAACGCGTACAGCTAGTTCTACTGCAGGACTTCGTAACTTGGCCCCTAGGCAACAATGTATGGCGCCTGATATGATGCGAATGGTTGGATCAGTGCCACAAGGTTGGTTTATGAGAGAGTGTTGCAATAGGTTGGATATGTTTTGAAGTTTCAGAGATTTGTTTTGAGAACACGACATTTGAAGTTGCACTTGATTGCTTATCTTTGTTAAGTTATGCATTCAATAAGACAATGAATGTAATTTAACATTCATACCCTATAACATTGTAATGTTTATATAACTATGTACGAGGGCTACTCTAGGGTAGCGGCCAAGGGTGCTGTGTAACCCACGCGTGACTGTTAGTTCGTTACCTTGCTACGGGCAACCAAAGCAGGGTCTTACAGGGTCGACAAATTGGCACCATTCTTGTCTATCCATTACTGGAATCATTGTACTGGAAAAATATTTGTTCATCTTTTTCTACGATGGTTAATGGAGCACCTGTTATGGATTTAACAATATCGAACGTCTTGTTCTTTATAACTATATACCGCTGACCTCGAGGAGCTTTTCTAAAATATGGTGGTATGGTCTTTCTTGAGAAAACCGTGATATGTTGATCCGTCTCGTCGTTTGTTTGGAGATTTTCTCCATAGTGATTCGGAGTACTTATGACGTAATAGCAGCATGTCTTTCTAGGGTCATCGTTGTCTCGTCAACTCCAAACACAGCAACAAGCTGCTGCAATGAGAAATACTCAGGGAACCCCACAAATGGTGCAGTTACATCAGGTTCAGCAGCTTCCAGTGGCCGGGCGCGTTATTGCTATGAATTCAATGCAGGTGACAAAATCGGATCTATTAACAAATCTTGGTAGACGTTTGTCTTATTGATTATAAATAAGATACTACCACTACTGAAATGTTAACATTGTGATTTCGATTACATCCTCAACTTAACTGGGTTTAATGCCAATTTGTGCTCCACAGACCATTCGCGTTGATGGGTGATAGCTTATGGCAGCCTTGGGTAGAAAATGGCTAAGAGTACGGCAAAGAAATGGTCTCACTGATGTCGTGCATAACAATGAGTCCCAGGAAAGGGTAATGAAGGTTCGATCTGGCCCGGGGTCTAAGTTTTGAGAATATCTCAGCATCGTAGTGGCTGTATTTCACATCATATCCTGCCTTGAGAAATAATAATAAGCAGTAAATAAAAGCTTAACATAAATAAAATATCCTGTAAGGAAGGTTCTACATGTATAAAGATAATTCTTCCAGGCACCGCAGCAGTTAATTCCTGTTCCCATGCGTATGGTTTCCAATGGAGCGACAATGAGTGACGGTCAGCCAACTCCAAGTATGACGTTTCTTACTTTCGAATCATAGCTTTTTTTGTTTTGGTAAAGGAAAATTGCGCTTCTGACAAATTTCTGTTTCGTCCTGCGCATATATGTCTGGTTCTTATGTATCTACTTGAAGGAGAGGTACAGACTATTTCTTCATCAAATGAGTGTTATTTATCTTTGCAAAACACCTAATATTAATAATATAACAGCATTGGCTTAACTAGGTTTATTAGCAATTCGGGGTTCCCAGATCAATTCCGTTGGCTGGTGATTGCTGATGGCACTGATAGATAAAACAACTAGCAGAGAGGCAGGCGAAACGAAGGACCTGCCTGGTATGGTGGTGAACGTGTTATCCCCTGGAAAGAGTAATAGCGCGTTCGTTCCCCAACACAGACACCTGCGGTCCGAAGTTTTGCCAGTATCTCAGCATCATTATGGTTGTTTCACAACTAATACCCTGCCGTGAAAACTTGTAAAAGGCAGTAAATAAAAAGGCAACACTGTGAATTTCGTAATAGTTGCCAGGATCGACTTTCTCTTAACCTCGGCATTGGAATATGAATGTGTCGTTTTCTTGTTCAGCAATCGCGAGGTTTTTAAACAGCATACATTTACTTCCATAGAAAAACACAACACAATACAACGCTAGCTGACGTTTCGGCAGTATCGCCTTCTTCAGAGCCTGGAAGGGTACACTGATATACAATCTACTAGGCCAAACGCTTCAATAACACTTACAAAAAGACGAAAAACTCCTTGGTAATTACATGATCAACAACTTCTCGAAAAAACCCACCGCTTTTTCGTGACTTCCAATGAGGAAGTTTAGAACAGCTGATTATAGTCGCGTATGGTTGATGACTGCACCATCCCACATCAAAAATCGATCCGAAC